TTGACTTGCATGTGATGTTGTTGTTGTTGCTGTGGGCCATGGAGTTGGTGCTTCCTGTATTAAGGTTTTTGGTTTTTTTTTAATTGTGAGGCTTACATGGAAGAATATCAGTTTTACATTTATCCTATCGTATTTCATTTCGTTGCAATGATTACAGTCCCCTTCATGCTGCATCATCAGATAACCAAAGGGTACACCCCACAGGCCTGTTCCCTGGCCGTCAGCACACACCCCCTCTCCCACCCTGACTTCAGTGCCCCCAGCTGTTCCATCTGTCCACTTCATCATCTCTGTCTCCATCCTTGGTGTCTCTGCCTCTCTGGGTAGGGTTCCGCTCTCCGCTCCTCTCACTTGATGGTCCCAGGAACCTCCGCTCCTGGGCTGCAAAATCAATCACTCCCCTTCTTTTGTCAAAAAACATCTAGCTCTGTATTTCCTACCCTCACAGTCAATCCTGATGGCAATTATTCACTATCGTACCTCAAGAGTCCTATACCCATTTCCTTTCGCCAGCCCGTTCCCAAAAGATTGGAAATCATTCAGTGGAGATTCTATCTTCCCTCGCCCCGTCAGGAACTAGGCTCCCTCTTGAAAGCTTGTAAGCCAGTCACTTCTTGCCTTTATAGCACCCCCACCCATTTTGGGTAGCCAGTGTCTAAGTAGCCCATCCCTGTCAGCCCTGTGTACCGAGGGGGTGGGAGAGCTGGATTGTGTTTTTATATCATCACACAGCTGCTCTTTTGGTCTTTGGTCGTTAGAGTCTAGCGCATCAAATCTGTCCTTGAGATGGTCTCTAAATTCAGGTGGGTTATACTCAAGGCCTTAGTGTGGTACTGTAGGATCAGCACTAGACTGCAAACCACAAGGTTGGCAGTTCAAACCCACCAACGGGTCTTTGGAAACCCTATACATGATCTCTAGGAGTCGGAACCAGCTGGAAGACACTTGCCAACAACAGACTCAAGGTCATGTTTCAGTTTTTGTGGAGTTAGAATTTTTTTCAACTTCAGCCTGAACTTGCATGTGAGCAATTGATGGTCTGTTCATCCTCCAACCTTGTTTTGGCTAATGAAATTGAGCTTTTCTCTATCTTCTCTTCCGACAGATGTAGTCAGTTTGAATCCTGTATATTCCATCTGGTGACGTTCATGTGTTTATAGTGTTGAAAAAAAGGTATTTGCACTGAAAAAACCACAGGTCTTGCAGAATTCTATCATGCGATCTCTAGCATCATTTCTGTCACCAGAGTCATACTTTCCAACTACTGATTCTTCTTTGTTTACAACTTTCCCATTCTAGTCATCAGTAACAATCAGTGCATCTGGATTGCATGTTTGATCAGTTTCAGACTGAAGAAGTCAGTAAATGTCTTCATGGACTTTAGTGGTTGGGGCATAAAGTTGAGTAGTAGGGTATCGACTGGTCTTTCTGGTGGTAGTAGTGGTGATTATGTGCCGTGGAGTCAGTTCTGACATATAGCAACCCTGTTAGAGTGTTTCCAAGGCTGTAAATCTTTACAGGAGCAGAAAACCTCATCTTTCTCCTGCAGAATCGCTGGTAGCTGCAAACTGCTGACCGTGAGATTAACAGCCTGACTCATAACCACTACGTTACCAGAGCTTCTTCGTCTTTCGAGTAGGCCTGTGGGTATTATCTTATCAGTATTGCGCTTCAAGATTGATCTTGAAATGCTCTTTTTGACGATGGATGTGACACTATTCCACGTCAGCTTGTCATTCCCTAAACTGTAAACCGGATGTTTGTCTGATTCAACATGGCCAATACCTGTCTGTTTCAGCTCGCTGATGCCTAAGATATTGATCTTTATGCATGCAATTTATTTTCATGGCTTCCAATTTTCCTAGATTCAATACTTTGTGCATTACACACTTTGATTATTAATGGATGTTTGCAACTATTTCTCCTCATTTTGAGTTCTGCCCCATCAGTAAATGAAAGCTTTACTCCATTCTCATCCTCACGGCCACCTCTTCTTTGAGGAGGACACAAGCCACCGCAGTAAGACAAACTGTCAGATGAGTTGATAGATGTTAATGTTGCTTTTCATTCTTTTTAGTAAATAAGGCGTGACAGATGCCCGCTTTTTCCTTCCCTCCCTTCGCACTCTTTTCCCTTGCTGTCTACTAGTAACCACTGTCTTCAGGTTGTATTGAAAAACACCGCCTGATTTAAATATTGCAGGTGCATGTCCAAAGGAGCCAGTGAGAAATGCGTTTCCTTCCTGCTCAATTGTATGACAACAACCTGATGTTTGCTCTTCTCCGAAATTGAAGCGCAGGAATGGCTGGATGTAGTGGCTTCATGGTGACGCTGTCTGGCCTATTCGTTCTGCTTGTTGAGGCGCGAGCATCTGTGCAGTTGGGGGGGTGGTCTGCGATGATATCTCATGAGCAGCAGTATGTTTCACTGCTTCGTAGATTGTCGGAGAAAGAAGGGTGAATGTGTCCATGTGAGCTACAGGTGTTGTGAGACATCCAGAAATGAGTTGTCCTTGGTCTGCTCTGCTTGCTCCGCCTGCTCCCCTCTTCCTGTTGCCACTACCATCCTAACCCCCAGATATAGGGTGAGGCTTGTCAGGCCTATAGGGCAGCTCCTGGGAACAAGGGTTATTCTTATCACCATAGTTTCTGTAAAATGAATTTTGTTGAGAATGCCAGTTACTAGTCACACAACATCCTGTAGAAAGGAGCTGCAGAAGTGGAGGTTGTCTCCCTCTCGGGGGAGAGGGGGGCGTTGCTTGCCTTTAGCCACTGGGCAGTACTTTCAACCTGTGGTTCTGAGTGGCCTGTGGTCCGAGGCCCTCTTGGCTCCTTCTCTCTGGTTAGCAGTTAAGTCTGCAAATCTGTAGTGCGTTTTCATATTAGAACACAGAACTGGGGCCAGGTCTATGACTTACGGTGTCTTCTGTTCCAGAGACACAGCTCCACCTCCTCCAGGCTCGCCGAAGGCCCTACTCATGGTCTCCTGGCTCTTTTGGAATTTTAGGAAAAGTGGGTTGTCATATTGTTCAGTTTCCTCACTTTTGTAAAGTCTCTGAATGGGGCTCCCACTTTCATCCCAATCCCCATATTTTTGTGCTGTCTGTAAATATTTCAGTAAGTGTATTACAAAGCTGTGTGCTTTGAAAACTTACTGAAATATCATTGTTTAATGCCGTCGAGTTGTTTCTGAGGAGTTTGAACGCTGACCTTTTGGTCCAGATATCTCACAGCACCACACCTATAAAAATTGTTCCTCGGTATCATCAGCTATCCATCCGTATTCAAACATCGAATTATCTTATAAATGTGGGGTTTTAAGTTGGGGACAGTTTCTTTATTTGAATCAAAAAAGTCATTGGTAGGTCTCTTACGTTTCCTTAATGTCGTTTGCTCTCCACTTTTGTTGTCCTAGAAAAAGCTGGTCATTTACCTGGTTTTGGTGACCTTCTCATGGATGAATTTTGCTGATTGCATCCATGGTATTGTTGAAGCGTGTTCCTTTGGCCTCTGTGTTTCCTCTCGGTTGGGTGTAGTGCTGAGGGACTCTGATAGACTTTCATTAAGGTGCTCCCTTTGTGTGGTGCCGCAGGTAGTACCTGACCAGTGCTACTAGGTAGCCGTGCTGTGTTCGTCTTTCCTTCCTCACTTATATGCAGAACGCTTCTCTGAGAGACCCCCTCATCTACCCCAGGGCTGCCCAGAGGTACTGTCGGCGTAGGAAGTGGTTGGTTGCTTCCTGTTGTCTATTAATTCCCCAAATGGGTTCGAGACTGTCCTGCAGTGATAACCTTTTTGTTCCAGCTGTAGTTAAGCCCTCTTATGTGTAATCATGTCTGCTTGGTTACATCCCACTCAGCCCTTCTTCTACATTTCATTGTCGAAGCATACACTTCGCTTCAGGGACAGGTCACTCACCATGTTGGACGCAGCAGTCACTCATTCAGGTCGGGTCCCTCCTTCTGTGATGTGACCAGTAGTCGGACGTCTGTGGTGGACAGGACACTGCCACCCCTTCACGCGTCTGCTTCCTCATGGGCACAGTCTAGATGCTCGTTCCTGGGCTGCTTCCGGTGGACAGAGTCAGAGTGAGCTCAGAGTGAACCCAGAATCCAGATTCTGAGGGATGGGGCCTCCCTTTCTCATCTCCTTTCTCAACAAGACTTGGGCTCATGGATTAGAGTATTACCTTCCGTCCGTTTGTTGTATTGGCAGTATCCACACCACCTCAGGCTAACAATACCATCGTGACTGCCCCAATTGTGATGGCTGCTCGTGCGGTTCTGCGTGTCTTCAGGGTTGAAAGTCTTTGTGTTGAAGTTCTCTGGCTCCTGTTGGGGTGACTGTTGTCTCTTCACTTTGCTGATCAAGTCCTTGGATGCCCAGAAGGACTCCATTGTGATAACACCCAGTGTATACTTGAGAAAACAGAAGAACTCCATCCTCTGTTACATCCCTGTATGAATTATCCTATTTATGGTGTGCTGCTGTGGGATAAGCACTGGACTGCTAACCACAGGTCAGTGGTTCAAAAACCCTGTACAGGGTTGCTATGCGTCGGAGCAGACTCAAGGACCCTTAACAACAAGAACATTTCTTCTATCAGAGTTCTGTTTGCATATGTAATGATCTCCTCAGGACCCTACACCAGTGGGAGAGCCTGGAGGTGGATTTCGGCTGCACGTAATGATCTGGCTATCTCACAGGGTGGGGGAGCACCTAAGCTGTAACGATCCTGGTCTTCCCACTCAACCAACACACTGTGGACTTTTTGTGAGATGACCCTTCTTTCTGTGATGTACAATCTTGGGAACTGCTGCTGGCGTCTGTCTGTCTGTCTGTCCGTTGTGGACTAAGCCACTGCTGGCTCAGTTTCCTTGTTCGTAGGCTCATCCCTGCGCCTCGCCTGCCTGTCTGTGACGTAAAGGTTGAGTTTATGGTCTACCCCCCCGATTTTGCAATGGTCCATAACACTGTCTCATTTGACAATTGCAGGTGAAGGACTTAACTAAATACTTGGATCCTGGTGGGCTTGGTGTGATCAGCTTTGAAGACTTCTATCGAGGCATCGCGGCCATCAGAAATGGAGGTCAGTCACCCAGCTCAGTCCCTAAGTGGTGTAACAAGTCTTGTGCCCCTGAGTCCCCTGACACAGCCTGCTTTCCAGATGATCCATCTCCCTCCTCTATGTACTCGTCACACACCTTCCTGGATAGAGGAGACTCATCTGGGAACTTCCCCAAATGCTGGCCAGCTAGTGCCCTGCTGAGAGAGCTTTCGTGGTGAAATACTTTAAGTTTACAAAAATGTTGAAAGAATTAGCAGTGATCATGCACATATTTACCATAGAATGTTCCACTCACATTCTGCTACATGCACTCTAAGGTCCTCTCTACTCGCCTTTTCCTCTCTTCTCCAGTCTGTCTTTGTATACATGCTGCGTGTGTGTGTGTATGACATGTGTGTGATATGTCCATGTGTATATGTGTGGTGTGTCTGTGTATAATACTCTGTGTATGTGGGGTGTGTCTGTGTATATATGGTGTGTGTATCTGTGTGTATGTGGTATATGCCTATGTGTATATATGGGGTGTGTCTGTGTATATGTGCTGTATGTGTGTATATGTGGGGTGTGTCTGTGTGTGGGGTGTCTGTATGTATATGTGGGGTATGTCTGTGTATATGTGGTGTGTATGTATATGTGGGGTGTGTTTGTGTATGTGTGGTGTGTACATGTATGTATATGTGGGGTGTGTCTGTGTATATGTGGTGTGTAGCTGTATGTATCTGTATGTATATGTGACATAAGGTCTGTGTGGAGTCTGTATGTGGCAGGCATGTCAAGTTGACACTACTCCAAAGCCTTGGTCAGGTAGGCCTAGACTCAGCGTCAGTGTCTGCTCTCTGAGTCAAGTTGACCGTGTTGAGGGCAAAGCAGTTGGCTGTCAAGAGCATCGTTGTCACTTTGCCTGCCCGCTGGCCGGCAGTGCCACTTCAGATGAGCCGTGCCTTTCCTGGACGTCGTGTGACTGGAACCACCTCTACAGCCGCTGCTGTCCCTCGGCTCCTTGTCTTTGTTTGTTCATGTTGGTGGCCCGTGCCTTTTCATGGCAGAGGCATGCGCCCGTTGATGTGGTAGGCCATTCTCCTGGGGACGACTCCTGGCTGTCACATGACTTGGACTCTGATGAAAAAAGCGTCTGATGGTAATTGTGGACAGTTGTTTGTGAACACATGATGTTCGTTGTGTGGACAGCCGCACCACATGGGAAGTGTGGCTCCCTGGAGCCCTGCAGGTCTGCCTCAGAGGTACCTCCTAGCTGTTAGGAAACGAGTGCTCTGGGCAGTGGGCCCTGGGCTGGTCCCTCGTGGGCAGTAACAGTGGCAGAACCTCGGGAGATGAGACCAATGAGAGGCTGGACAGGCCGAGGCCATGGGACCTGGGACACCATTTCCATGTCTGCCATCTGGGCACCTGGGTCAGGCCCTGAACCTGTGCTCTGGATGCGCCTCCTGGTAGCCCCATAACACCAAGGCGGGATTTTGCTGTGTGTGTCTGTCACAGCCCAGCTGCTGCTGGACTTCCAGTGTGGAATATGCTTGCTGCAAGTGGCTAGCTAGTCAAGTCCCCCGAGGCAAAACTGTCTCTGCTTATTTGGGGGAGTGGGGAACAAGGAGCTTGAGAGGTCATGTGGAGAGGGGAGGCGGGCTGAGCTGGGAAGGTACAATGTGAACCAGGATTGGGGAGAGCCAATCTCTCTGATAGTAGGGGACAGGCCCAAATAATCAGGGCACAGTGGCCTGTGCTGCCACCGTGGACGGCTGATGACAGGCAGAGGTGACCCCGTGCCCCCTGTTGTGGGACTAGAGCAGCAGCCTCGGTCACATGTGTTTGGAGGACTAGGGAATCTGAGCAAGTGTCAGGGGCCACTGGATGGGGATTTGGATCCTGTGTTGTCTTCATGCCCTGCATTTCCCCACATATACCCTTCCTGGGTCAGGGGCATCTCAGAGAGCATTGAAGGGCAGACTGCACTGTGGCTGCAACTAAGTGAGTGACATTAGAACAGAAGCCAGTCACAGGCCAATGGTCTACAGGCGGAGAGAAGCAGGACCGTGGTATTACTGCAGGGGCCCGCCACTGAGGGACAGCCGCCACTGAGGGATAGCCGCCACTGAGGGACAGCCGCCACTGAGGGACACCCTCCACTGAGGGACACCCTCCACTGAGGGACAGCAGCGCTGTCCTGGAGTTGACCCAGCCTTGTGTCTGGGCCATGCTGGACAGTGAGAGAGCGCTTCCACTCACTGCCTAGTGCTGTCATCCTCACAGAAGAGGTAGACACAGGTCTTGTTTTGTCTCCCTTAGAAACCTTGTGCCATGTGTGCACCACGCTGGCGGCATGCATCCAGCCTGTCCACTGTGGGTAAACTGAGCAGCGGTATCTTGAGAGTTTTGAGCTCTGTGTTGGGTTTTTTGGAAGCTCTGGTAACACGGTTCTGTTTGATAGTGGAGAAGCAGGCCAGACAGACCAGCCTCTTAAAGAATGTATGGGTTTGATCTCAATAAAACTGACGCTGTGGACTCGCTCTCGACCCATGTTACAAACTGTGCTCATTTATCAGAGCTAGATCACCAGGTCTCCTTAGGCAGTCTGGGTCTGGAAGTGGCCACCATGGACAGCCCTCCTGGTACCTGGAATCCCGGTTGCGTAGCTCCCAGCGTCATGGCACACACATACAAGGTAGTGGGACACCATCAGTCAGCTCTGACTCATAGCGACCCTGTATAGGGTTTGCGAGGCTGTAAATCTTTACCAGAGCAGAAAATCTCCTCTGTCTCCCATGAAGCGGCTGGTGGATTTGAACTGCTGACCTTGCGATTAATAGCCCCCAGAGCACCTTAGATATCATGTTAGGAGGTAATGTTACATAGAGTAACTAGCTGATACTGTAAGTAACTGGGACATTCACAGCCTGCTGGTATCAGGAGATGTACTCTGTATGCTCCGTGGTACACACTTGTGCCCAAACAGGACTGCGAGACTGCAGGAGTTGGCACCTTTCCTGCTGAGCAAGAGGGTCCAGGCTGTGGGGCGGATCCTGTTGGAGAGCATTGCCACCTGTTTAGAAGGAAGGCTCTGACTGTAAAACCAAGTTAAGCAAACAGAAACCAAAAATGACCTGGATTCCACCAGCCAGGGATATCATTCCTATAGACCCCCAAACACAGACATGTGAGAAAATAAGTCTAGGGTGTGTTGTGTGTGTGTGTACTTGTGGGGGGGTGTACGTGTGTGTGTGTACTTGTGGGGGGGTATACTTGTGTGTGTACTTGTGTGTGTGTGTACTTTGTGTGTGTGTATGTGTGTACTGGCACGTGTGAGCCAGCAGCCCTCACCACGTCTCTTTCCAAAACAGCCTTCACCCCAAACAGAAATGAAAACTCTCCATCTCCCCCGTCCCGGCCACCACTGAGCCTCAGTCTCTGTGGACTTGCTGGTTGGATGTAAGTGGGACCTGGCTTCTTTCACACAGAATCATGTTTTCAAGGCTCCAGGCGTCTTTGTGGAGGCGCAATTTGCCATTGTGAGCCACAGACGGCATTGTGTTTATCCCTCACCTGGTGACGGACGCTTGGACTGTGCCCACATTTTAATGTTTCAAATAATGGCAGCTGACGTTATAAATCCCATAAGTGGTTTTACAGAAGAGCTTGATTTCTTGCTCTTCCTTTTACAGTGCTGCTCAGTCTTGTAAGAAATAAAATAACAATGATCTACCTGCACAGAGTTCACCATGGGGAACCCTGCCTTCCCACCAGAGTTCGCCTGCCCTGTGGACGGGAGCAAGGGTTCTCCTGGAGAACCTGTGTTGGCTTTTGTCTGGCCACCTGCCCTGGGTCTCAGTCCCTAGGGCCACTGCGTCCCTGCTGCCTCAGGCCCCCTCCCTGCACTCAGCAGGCGTGGAACTGCGCAGTTTACTGCCAGACCAACATTGGGTCTTCTTCCTGCAGATTCTGAGAGCCTGCTGTACGACATCGCCCCCACGCAGGATGAGGAGAGCCCAGCGTGTCCTGATGAGTTTGACGACTTTGTCACCTATGAGGCAAGTGGCCCTGCTCGAGCAGCATTTCCTCTCCAGGGTGTGTAACTTTGAGTACCAATGGAGGACAGTTCTTTAGAATTTTCATGTAACTTTTATGGGAGTTGGATGTAGGCACTGTGAAAACCGTAAAGTCTTAAGACGTCTAGTAGACACCTGAGTGGAGATGTGTGGGTGGTGGCAGATGTCACATGGGCACCCTCACTGCTGCTATTGACCTATGTTGGCTTTCAGACTGTTTGGAGACACTCAGGTTCAGAGCTTCTGGCAGGGACACTATGCTGCCCACAGACCTGCTGGTCAGCTGGTTGGTCTCCCAAGGGTCCAGTGGGTAATCAGCACCACGGAGATAGTTTCTGAGTTCGAGGGAAGTGTTGAGGGACTGAGTGGAGCTGCAACAACTGTCTGTGGGCTGGTGGTCAGAGCCTGTCCTGTCCCAGAATGCACTGGAGGACAGAGCTGGAGCGGCCACGTGGGGGTCACAAAGCACCATTCCTTCATGGCTTCTCCCTCCTTCTCCTCCCACGGCTTCTGGAGGAGCGGAGAGCCTCCCAAACAGAACCAGAGGCGAATGTGTCTTCTTCACCAATTGTTATCAGTAAGGTCAGAATCAGAAACAAAAGCTGCTGCGTCAACATGGACGGACATTTCCTGAACCTTGTTCCCTCCCTGCCACCCCAGTGGGAGGTTAACAGAGCGTGTCTGGAGCAGGTTAAATTTCTTCCCAGGCCAGAATGTGCCTTCAGGGAGATACACAGGTTTCTCAGACACCCAGCCCGACCTGCTCCCCCTCGGCCCCTCATCTGATGGAAGCCACTCGCCTGGGCCGCACAGCCTGGTGTTTTTGGTAAGAGCTGCTCTGTGGGGTGCTCTCGGCCTCAGAGGGCTGTCAGGGAGGAGGGGACTGGTAAGAGCAGGACACGGACCCACGGTCAGCCCCCTGAGCATTCTGCTCTTCAGTGAGTTCACCCTGTTGTCAGGCGCTGTCCCTTTGGTTGTGACGCAGCGTCCGTCTCAGGAGCTATCATTTATAAGGGTTTAGAAGCTGGCCTCCAGAGTCTGGGGAGATTCAGATGGTGCAGATGGGAGCCGGCCCATCTGTGAGCTGCTATGGAAGGACCAACTTCAGGATTCTTTTTTTTGCCATAGCTCCTGAGACAGGAGCTGGGTGGCCTTAACTAAGCAGAACAAATCCACAGCCCAGTCCCTCAGGGATGTGGACAGGCTGGGACTTGACTCTCGGGAGAGCCTTTCTGGGCTCCTGCCTGCAAGCTGACTCTGCTGCCCCTCTCCGGGGGCTCCGGGTCAAACAGGACATTGCAGTGAGGAGGCCCTGTATGCCCAGCACCTCACCAGGGCCCTTGTGCAGGGAATCCCCAAGATTCTCTTTTGTCTATGATTTGGAGCAAATTTGGGGTAAATGGAAAAATGAAATTCTTATGAATTGGGAGGCAATGTGTAATGTGCATGTGCATAAGGGAGTGTGAGGTACCTGAAGAGGTGTGAAGGTGCAGGTGAGAAGGTTCTAGAATGAAGGAGAAAGTGCTAGGCATGGCCAGAGCCCCAGCTCCTCTAAGGGTCCTGTGTCCATGGAGAATGGGTTCTCTTGGGAATGTCCTCACTGTCCTGGGAGTGCCGATAGGACCCTGGGCAGAGTGAAAGCGGAGCCTCTGTCGCCACCCTCTCCTTGGCAGAAGGCCCTCAGTCCTGATCTGTGGGAATGCAGCATGGAAGAAGATTAGACTGCCCACCATCCAGGGCCAGGTCCCTACATCCAGCAGAGACCTGCCAGCATGCTGACCCACAGGTTCAAGTTCTCACCTGGCACACTTCTGCTGCAGTCTGTGGTGACCCTGCTGGCCTGTGTGGTCAGGAAGGTGGACAGGACCTCCTCTGATCCTCTTTGCAGACTAGGAACAGTCCCCCGGCCCTGTCTGGGCTGGCTGGGTGATGACCCCACTCTGCACATCACTGTTGTCGGGGAGTGAAAGGCAGCAGCTCCGCAGATAACCCTCCAATGTGCTCTTCAGGGGCCAGGCTCTGACCGGCTCTGCTGTGTTCTGTCCACTGCAGGGCTGAGTGGACAGCCATGCCTAGGCACCTCCTCCTCCCACAGAGGCCTGCTCCCGGGTGAGGAGGAAAACTGGAGCCAGTGCTCCCTTGAAGTGGTTTCCCTGTTTACATTTTGAACTACTCTTTCCTGAATTTTATTTTGTTGTTGAGAATACGCACAGCAAACCGTAACCCAATCCAACACTTCTGGCTGTATCATTTAGGCATAGCTGACAGCCTCCTGCACTCATATAACCTCACTGTCCCCTCAGCTTCCTGTCTCATCTTGTCTGTTGCTGTCATGTCTGACCCCATACGGAGTTCTTAAACACCCCGCTGTTTTCAGGAATGACTTAGTTGTTTTAGACTGTAAGCAAGACTGGGTGTTTACTTGTGGGTGAGAGCAGCTGAGCACCTGGAGCAGGTACATCCCATTGTAGCCCTTGCCTCATCCTCACAGCCATCAGCAGAAGTTTTCTCCATCGCTAGCTCATCTGCCCTGGAGCCAGTTTCTGGATGCAGAGGCCTGCCCCTGATGAGACTGGCACCTGTAACACATGACAGCTGGACTCGAGTGGGTGAGGTGTGTCTGAGACCACGCACAGGAGCAGTAGACTGAGGCTGGAGCCCGGTCTTCCTGGTACCCTGGGTGCCTGCTGACTTGGTTGGCCCTTTTCCTGGAGGGTATGCCCAGCGGTTTCAGTGGCTCTTACACACATCATCCGATGCTTGGGGCCCAGCACAACCCTTCTGGAAGGTGACCTTTGACGGTTATTCACCTCACAGTGTTAAACGTTGGCTACTCCTCCTAATCCACATTTTTAATCCCCCCCTAAAGATGGCGCTGTGGCTTAATGCGCCAGGCTGCAAAGCTGTTTGAACTGCAGGGTCAGCGGTTCAAGCTTGCCAGCTGCTCCTTGGAAACCCTGTACAGGGTCGCTATGGGTCGGCACTGACTCAATGACACTTGACAACAACAACAAAGATGACAGCCTTGGACGATAACTCTGTCCTATTTCACAGGGTTACTGTGACTCAGAATTGACTTGATGGAATTGGGTATTTTTTTCACGTCTACCTCCCAGCCAGTGACCCCCTGCCTTCTGCTCCTACCCTTGGTAGCCATGAAGAATTGCTTTTTCATTAAAGTTGAAATTATAAATTGAGCATAGCCCATTTAATGATCCCTTAGCTCTAGGTTTGTTTATATAATCCACAGATAGTCACCATGTTTGTGTGCCAGGCCAGTGCTAGGAGTAAGAGTAGCAGATGGGCCAGGGGATGAATAGACCCACAGTAACCATGGCACAAAGAAGTCTGTGATTCTCTGAGTCAAGTCTGATGTTAGAGTAGGTCAGCAGAGAGTAGGGTCACAACAGAGAGTGGGGTCACACCACAGAGAGTAGGGTCACACCACAGAGAGTAGGGTCACACCACAGAGAGT